ACACCGCCGTTGCCACCCACGTGTTGTACCACTCCTCAACTTCCGCCTGCACCGGTCGGTCATCCTCTCAAGGGATGTGGACCTCCTCCTTACCGTCATGGGTGCAACTCCGGATCAATTGGGTGTTCCAGTTGTTGAACACCATTTTTGACAGTCTCTCCGACATGAGCTTCGTGCGCTGTCTTCCAAAAATGAGCTCATGCAAGCTCCAATTCCGCTCACATGCAGCGGACGAGCTTGCTTGGCCAAGCAATTTGACGGCTTGCGGCTGCAGAAGGTCCAACTTTCCCCCAAATGCTTCCCACCACAAGGCCGTTGGTTTCACACGGGCCGCCTCCGCTGCCTCTCGTGTGTTGAATGACCCACGCAGTCTGGTCCAGTCATCAACTTGCCGGCTCAGTTCGTCGAGGGTGGGTTTATCTTTTGGCGCCCACGAGTACAACCAAATGTTGAACCCCGCACGAACCTCCCCATCCCGCTCTGCCAATGCACTGTGTCGGAACTCCGGGTCAAGGAAGGCAGCCGCGCAGTGCAACTCACTCGTCATGAACGACCACCGATGCATTAGAATGTCCTCGATGTCGGCCTTCTCACCCGGGGTGACACTCGAGGCCGCGCATTCTCTCGACGAGCGCATCCATCTTGAAGTAGACCTTCGAGATTGTCGCGCCTGGCCCGTTGACCAGGCGCAACAGCTCCACAACAGGAGACATCACTGCGAGGGCCTTCTCCGCCTTGTCCCAAAACCCGTCCCTTCCCAGCACAGTGGAGGTGACCTCACGGAAAGCGACATGTCGTGACTTGTGGCAAATCGCGTGACCGCCGGCCGCTTCAACTTCAAATTCGGCGAGAATTTGTCGAACATAGCCCTCGCCTTGTCCACATACGTGAAGAATTTGCCGACTACATTGTCGGCGTCGACGACCACCGCCAGCCAACCGAGCTGCTTGTACATGTCCTCGAGTGCTAAATCGAGGGCATGCGCTGTGCAACCGACACGAAAAATTTGAGGGTAAGCGGCCTCCACCATCTTACCCGCCTTCACACACACTCTTGCATTGTCCATAACAACGCCAACCACTGCGTTTGACCCGATCTCCTTGATCACTCCATCAAGGATCTTGAAATACGCCTTCGAGTCTTTTTCTTTCCCCTCCATGCGCACTGATTTCCAAAAGACAGTCCTGATCGGGGACGACACCATCACATTCAGATGGGGGCGATTGCGTCTATTAGACCAACCGTCCATCTGAAGCATGCAGCCCGTGACCTGCCACTTCGTGGTCATGGCGGTCACGTCTGCTCTCGTCCTTCCACACGCGGATGTGCCTTCTTGACCGCGTCGATGAACTCGAGGAAGTATTCCTGTGGTATGGCAGCCATGACGGATGTGCCTTCTTGACCGCGTCGATGAACTCGAGGAAGTACTCGTTGTCAACGAGACTGAAGGGTTGGTTCGTGCAGAACAGGAAGTTATCGAGGAAGCGGCTCGTGTGTTCATTACGAGTAATGAGGAAAGTGTCTGCCTCATTGGTCGACCTGTTTGGGGCGCTGCACGGCCGCACTCCCTATAAGTCGCCACCCGCAATGGTACACCGCCAGCATCATCCGCTCCACTACATGCACCCATCGCTCCAGTGACTAGACTGCTGGCATATGGCAGGTTGCTCGTCGGCGTGGAACTCTTCTCCCCCCTTTCAATGAGCTCTGCAAGGGCGTTCCCCATGTGAAGCCCCTCCGCCCTTCTCGCCCTCTCCTCCATGGCCATCGGTCTAGTCAGGAGGTCCAGGCTGCACTTCTTCAGGAAGTGGGTTCTCAGATGTGCCGCTGTCCCGTCGAATTGGGTCTCGCAGTACTTGCAAATCCAATGCTTGGACCCTTTTCCTGGGTTCCTCCCTGCGGGTCCGTGAAGTGCGTCTTCAAGTCCTCTTTCAGCTGCTTGTGATGAGAGGGAGCCATTGCCGCTGTCACCTGCATAGTGGGGAAGGCCACAATGTCAAACGCAGGTCAGCCCCTCGTCAAATCATTCCCCTCGCCCCCCCTCCCCCATCTCCCCTCCAATCCCCCTCAAATGTGCAACATAGCAGTGGGCATACCACGAAAAGAAACAAAAGAAAAAAACAGACGAGAAAATCAGATTGCTTTGCAAATGCCCGCTAATCCTCCCCTGCTGCACAACGTTCAAGCAGGCATGAAAATGAAAAAAAAAAAAAAAATGCACACTGAGTTGCAAATGCCCGCTAATCCTCCCCTGTTGTGCAACGTTAAATCAGAAAAAAAAAAAAAAAAAAAAAAAAGGTCGAAGGAGGAGGGAGAAAGGAGGAAGAAAGGGAGGAAGGAGAAATGGGAGGAGGGAAAGATGGACGAAGAAGGAGAGGAGAGAGAGGGAGGAAGGAGGAGGGAGAGATGGATGAAGAAGAAGGGAGAGACGAGGAGAGAGAAAGGGATGGAGGAGAGATGGATGAAGAAGATGGGAGAGACGAGGAGAGAGAAAGGGATGGAGTAGGGGAGATGGACGAAGGAGGAGAGAGAGAGGGAGGAAGGAGGAGGGAGAGGAGGAGAGAAAAAGGGATGAAGGAGGGGGGAAAGATGGACGAACGATAAGTGGGAGAAGAGGAGGGAGAGATGGATGAAGAAGGAGAAAAGGAGGGTGGAGAAAGGAGGAGGAAGGGAGGTGGGAGAAATGGAGGAGGGAGGAGGGGAAGATGAATGAACGAAGACTGAGGGAAGGAGGAGGAGGGAGAGATGGACAAAGAAGAAGGGAGAGAGGAGGGAAGAGAAAGGAAGGAGGGAGGGACGCTGGTGTCGCGTGGAGCGAGTGGCCCTGTGGCTACCGACAAAAAAAAAAAAAGAAAAAAAAAAAAAGGTGTTTGGATGGTGGAGTGTTCGAAGGGGAGATAGAGGAGGAAGAGGGAAGAGCGAAGAGAGAGAGAGAGAGAGAGAGAGAGAGAGAGAGAGAGAGAGAGAGAGGGAGGAAGGAGGAGGGAGAAAGGAGGGTGGAGAAAGGAGGAAGAAAGGAGGTGGGAGAAATGGAGGAGGGAGGAGGG